TCTTTCAGCTCTTTGTTTTAGTTTTCCAACTCACAATTTTACTGTTTTGGTTCACTCTCACAACTCTCATCAGCTGTTTTATCATTTTAAAATGGTTTAATATGTCAGTGCTGTGTCAATGTTACCTTAACAAAAACCATAACCATACCATAACCTTTTTAGTTGCCATTACCTAGTGATTTTTAAGCATTTTTATAAGATTCTAGATTAGTTTTTTTGCTTGTTTTTTTGGCCTTTTGAAGTTACAGCAGTTGTTTCAGATATGCACCCGTACGGTGGTGTATAAAAAATGTATATCATACGTGAAATTAAAACCGGTATCCACTTGTTCATCCGGTATATCGCCCAGCACTACCATTACCATGATTTATTTCTAACTTTAACCCCTTAGCACGTATCGCAAAAGAAAGCATTTCATTGAACATAAATCAATGACTGTCTTGATGTCATAGGGTTGCAGTGCTCCTTCACACAGTAGGCATTCACATGAAGTATTTTACACTCACTGACATGGCATTGGGGAGGCTGAGTGTTTAGTCAAACCGTCCTTCAGCTGATCAACACAAGCTCATGTTTTTTTGACGACAAACATCTGCCCTGGTAATCGTTACCATTTCCTTCTTGCTCACGATATGTTGTTGAAAAATACATGCAACCTAAATAAACCTCAGTATTGTATGCACACCAACACAGACACACAGACACAAATGGTGCTCTTTCTACAGTATGCTACACAAGCACATACAAGCAAACAAAAGAGCAGTGTTTGGAAAGTGCTGGTACTCGTATGCATGAACACACATGTACAAAAGCACATGCACACTGTATTGTTGAGGAAAGGTTGCTGTACTAAGTATATTAACAAAGACAGTTGGAATGTTTTGTCATTTTGTTAAGGGAAAGCTGTGTGATATGAGCTCGTGTGCTCCCACTATCTGGCTGCTCGTGTGAAGACTCCCTCTTGTCTTGGGGAATCAGAAGTAGGCCGAGTCAGTGGATGTTCTCATTTCATACACCATCACTGTGGATCACAGCCAAGGACATTCTTGCTTCAAATTGCCATGCTAGGGAATTTTAGCCATAAAGAATTAATCAGATTTTTTGCAAAATGGGATTATAAAGAAGATACAGCACAGGTCAGCTAAGATGTAATTCATGTAGTTAAAATACTGACCATTTCTAAAGATGTTGTTACGCTAGTATTTCAGGGGTTCATACCCTAGATTTAGGCACATTAAAAAAGCAATTAATCACAAGAAAATGAGCCTGAAGTATATTGTGGTATGAATGAAATATGAGTAAGCTATAATGAAATATACATAAAAATAGCCTGGCCTAGTTTTATTTCATGAAGCTAAAGAAATGAATGATGTCTTTGGATTGTCCTTGGTGTCACTCATGAACAAAACTTTGTATCCTTCCCACTCTGGGGTCAACCTGAGGTAATATAGGACACTTCAAGAAAATGTTACTTTTTTCGCTCTGAACAGTATGAAGGCAAATTTACACCAGTGTGGTTACAGTTACATGCATACACTCCCAATGAACTACTTACTAAAAAAATAATGCAAGTGATCTGTGTCTTCAATGCAAAAGACAATAAACTGGGCTGTGCATGAGCAAAAGTAGAGTAAAACATTTTAAACAGATCAAGTCATGCTATTCAAAGGACTTCCCAGAGAACACAAAAAAGCAAAAAGGCTCAAACTCAGCATGGCATAGAGAAAAACATCTGGCACTGAAATTGTGCATCTTAGCGTACCCAAATGTATGTGCTGTAAATTCTCCTGAGCTTTCTGATTAAAAGAACACACCGCAAAAACCTGTGTTAAAGAATATGACACCTATCTACCCATTAGTTTCGAAAGGTACTGAAAACTTTGGAGCCTGACGCCTTAACAGAAGACATCCACAGCAGCCAACTTGGATTCACAATGGTTACCTGCAGCATAATCCACAGCTTCTAATCTAGGTATTTCCCAGTAACTCATATTTTCATTAAAATATGCCATAACAGGGCTAAATACTCTTTTTGCCGCTCCATTTTTAAAATGAGTATAATTGTAGAAGGTCGGATTCAAAACCACCTCCAAATACACAAGAGAGCAACCCCCAAACGCACTGTATTATTAGAAATCTAAGGCGACTGTTTTACACCCATATTCCCTTTTCATTTTAGAAAGCAGGATGTGGAATCCCTCATTTGAGCTGAAAGGGACTTTACACTTTTGAGGCACTTCTTTCCTTTACTGAAACCATCACATGTAATAGCTCTTTGGTTTAACTTTTATTCATGAGATGAGTTGCATGCAAATATTACCTTTTATTTCTTTTTTGATGCCTCATTTCATCAAAATCCCCTCTGATAACGTGACCTGCAAGAAACACACCACACGGTGAGACTAGATGAATTCTGTAGGTTGAGCAGTTGCACCCAAACATGCAAAGAATATTATGTCTGCCCATTAAAAACAATGTTGTTGTTGTTGTTGTTTTAAAGCGCAAATACAGTGAGTTTAAAGCTTCGGTTTTGTCTGCTGTAACCTTGAAGGGAGCAAATTATATTAAAGCAAAAACGGTCCACTTTTAAGTTTCTCTCCACGGCACTGTTTTGATGCTCACCAGATGGCATGTCATGTTGGTCGCTAAATGAGGCATCTCAACCTGTTGCTTTCAAGGAAGAAAGCTGTTTATCTGCTCTGCAGCCATTCCGAGCGACAACAACAGGAAACATGAGGCGGCTGCTGCTGCTGCTGCGAGGAGGGCTGGCCTCACGGTAATGACTGGAGTCAGGTAACCACCGCTGGACAGACCGACTCTATTCCTCCTCACGGACGGGTTCAGGCACGGAGGGAGGCGGTGAGAGCGGCTTTCCGGGACGGTTTCACGTTTTTTTTTTAAACAAATGCCGCGACCTTCCCTCTAAAACAAACTTTACAGAGCTGTAAAAGTTTGATAAAAGTAACTACGCGTGGCCCGCCGTTCATGAGACGAGCGTTGTGTGTTTTTTGGGGGGGCTTGCTTATCGCGGAGGCTACTCAGGTGTTCACCTACACGGGGAAGTTTGTGTCGTATTTTATCCTCCTCGCCACATCATTCATTTAGGTGGAAGGAGGATTTCTCTCCCTCTCTTTTTGTCGCGTGTCCAGTATCTCTCCACTTTTCCTACTTGGTTTCGTTTTCCTCCTGCAGTGTATTGGACCTAAAATATCAAGTAGCCAACGTTGAACAGGTAAGTGTGTTTTGCATTATTTCGACCTACCATGTTTTCTGCATGAATTTTAACACACGTTTGGTGTACGTGGTCGGTTGACACCTTTTGAAACCGGGCCAAGAGGTGGAAGTGAGCCCAGCCAGAGTTGGACAGCCCCAGCAGCTTTTGACTTGTCTGACCTCTGTTAAGCATTTCAAACCAAACCAAGTCATTTATTAATTTAAAACCCCCCTTGACATATACTTTGGCTGTATAAACACCGCAGTTGATGTTTTCTAACACTCTGGCTTCTTAAATCCTGACCCAACCTTACTAAAAAATAAATTTTTCACTTGGATAAAGACACAGTGAGTTTACAGTAACTCCCTATCATAGTTATTGTAGTTTTTATCTTAAAAGATATGCCATGCCATGCACAGTAGCCTATGCCTCCTTCAGAATAAAGTGGAACACTGGTTAGACTAGTTTTGGTTTGTTTGTTTTTTTTGCCTGTTCCGGTTTTTTGACTAACTGTAAAAAAGCCTCAAGTCTGCAGGGCATTTACAACAGTTTATGATGCACCGGTAAAGATAGTGGGGCTATATTTTAACACTTCCCCAGCCGCCGCTGCAGCTGCACTTCACAATCAAAACACACACACACACCCTATACACATACATACACATTGCAGTCAAGATCTCAAGTTCAGTATAGAGATTAACCACACATCTATGTGTGACTCACCTACTTTACGGCAAAACACACTGCTGTTTCATCACTTTTAACCACATCTATGCTTGATCTGTGCTATGGCTTCATTTAAAAAAAAAAAAAAAAAAGCATAGTTCTGCCCTACAACCCATCAAACAAATGCTGCTTAGCATGCAGCTGAGCATACTGATTTACAAGCAGAGATCCCAGCAGGAGCTCCTGACATGGCTCTGTCAGGCTGATGAACTGAGGGCCTTGAGGCCATATCCAGGGGGTGTTACTCACCTCACCTCTGGCTTAATTTGACTCTCAGGAAAATAGTTACTTTCTTGGGGGTTTGTTAACAAGCATAGCCTACTTATGCCTGAGGTTTCAAAGAGAAGCTTCACATAAAGGATCACTGCACAGGACACGTAGAAATATAAATGTCACAGCAACCAAAGAAGCTAGCTGATTACAGATCAGCACTGCTGTTTTATGACACAATAAAAGAAGACAATCACCGTCCTGGGATGATAATGAGATCAACTTTAGCTGCTAGTATTCTCAGACAAGCCGTTCTGTTCTAAAACATGCAGTCTAACGATGTATAAAACTTAAAAAGAAAGCAGTAAATTATATTAGTGTTACCATAAGTGATCTTGAACTTGATGTCCATATGTTACTGGTTTATGAGTCTGCTGTATTAAAATGATATATTTTAGACCAAGTTTGTCTCTGTCATGCTGCTGTCCCATTTTCAGCTGTTTGACTCTGTTAAGTGTTGACTGTTTTTGGTCTTAATTACTCATAAAGCTCACAGCTGTCTTCCATGATTAGTCAGACGACAGATCTACTCCAGTCTTTAATCTTTTAAAGGACCTGTTTGTATGTCGTGGCATCTAGCTGTGATGTTGCAGATTGCATTCGACTGAACACCACTCGCATCGGTATTTGATGACCTGGGAATGAGAACTGTCTACTGTGTAGATAAAAGCGTCTCATTCTAAGGAAACAAAAACAACAATTCTTATTTTCAGGTGATTATAGACTAATGAAAACATACCTGTGAATATTATATTCCATACTACCAATAGAGCCTCCTAAATGTTACACACTGGAACATTCAACATTATCTGTAACTTATAAAATATCATTTTTAAATTCTGTCTTTGGCTGTGGTGTTGAAGTCATCTCCGGATACATCGGCTCCTATGAGCTCAATGCAGATATTCTGTTATCAGTGTATGTGAGCCAATGAATGATATGCTCGCCTGTTAGTTGCTGTTCAGCTGAAAAGTTTCTTTCTGTGGTGCAAACAAAAGATAGAATTAGAGCCCAGGTCGATTTGTTACTTTAGTCACTTGCAAAGCATTTTGGTTTTGATATGAATCTGCAAAAATCCACCCAGTTGCACAAAGAGGAAGAGAGACAAGTAGAGTGGGCAGATGGCTGGTAAAGACAGATAAAAGAGCAGGAGAAACTGTGTGGTCGTCAGCACCACCAATCAGCAAGAGCTTTATCTTTTCAAATCGTGTTGGAGAGAGCCGGAGAGAGTCAGACTCTGACAAAGTGGAGGGAGATTAAAATACAGAAAGATTAAGGGGAGGAGACAAAAGAGTAGCTGGGAGTGATGAAACCCACCACTTTGCTTGGCAAACTGGGTGATGAATGAGTTTCCAGCAGGAGGGAAATTCCTCACTCACCCCCAGCATATCTCTGTGCCTGTCTGTCCATCCTCAGTTGAGGTGATATTGGATTTCCGCATCTCTTTCCCTCTAACGTGGTGTAGCATTGTCATCAGAAGCGAACACCACTGTGACTGTTAGTACATTTCCATATTTGAACTAAGCTGTTTACATGGGTTGTAAATCACAGTGTGATTAATAATCCCCCATGAGCATTACGTTGCAATGTCAAGAGTTTCACAGCTCTTTCTCGTTGTGTCATGTTGCCAGCACCATGATTGTTTGTGTGCAGATTGCACTGTGCTTCAGGCTGTTGTTATTATGGCTGTACAGAAGATTAGACTCAGACATCAAGTGAACAAAGGTGGTTCACCTGGAAGACGCTGGCCTCACAGAAAGTTTTTTTTTTTCCTTTTTAGTGGTAAAGAGATCTCATCATTCAAGTGAAGAAACAATGGAGGTGATCAAAAGTACCTCGTTGTCAGGTACTTATGTGTATACATATAGTATGTAGCATGCTTTCTGTTAATGCAGCTAAAAGTGGAATATTCAGGAACTATATTATTATTATGCTTATTCCAACTATGACTTTTTTCTGACTAGGGTTATTTGAGATTCTTTTTCTACTGCAGTTTCTATCTTAAAAGGCTACTTCACCAATTTAGCATTTCACTTCTATAAAATTCAGAGGCATGAAGAGAGAGATTAAAAAAAGAAAGCTCAAATTGCACCAGAGGCTGAGCTATCCTAACTCATAGCCCTGAGTATGGGTCAAGATTAAAAAATGCTACATACAACACCTCCCACAATGCAACTGGATAGCCTCTTTAATTAGGCCCTCACGGTCTGACAAATGCCCACGTCTGTTAAATTCCATGCCCCCCCAGAGTGCCCCTTTAAGCAGGTTAATGTGGTATCATGATTGGTATGTACATTGAGAAATGTTGTAATTGAGACACATGCTAAATTGCTCCCCAGAGATCTCATCCTACCTACAGCATGTTTCTGCATTATGTCACCATGTCAGTCCCAACATACCTGAGATACCAACCACGCCCCAGCATTCAAGTGAGAACTACAGTCTAAAATTCTGCGACTCATCCTCTTGTTTGTCCTCTATTCCTTTTGTGTTTGTGTCTTGTTTTGGCACGGAAGGCGGTGTTGAGACGGCGCTTTTTAAATCGTTCTAATATGTGTGTCACTGTGTGGTATTTCTTTCATTTGTAATAATCTGTTGAGTGAAAAGCCTCAGAGACTCCATCTGACAGTCAGCGAGAGAAAGAGGATAGAATTACATTTATCATCTTCAGTTTACTTTATGTCTGTCGTACACAGTACACATGCCCTTCGTTTGACACCGGCAACAGTGTTTTAATCAAGCAGACAAGGATTAGACAGTTAAGTAATGTGTTATGGTTGGGAAGGTAATGGTCTGAGGAGATAGCAAAGAAAGGCCTGAGCTGCCGCTGACAGGATAATATTTTAGCTTCTTAGCATCCCAGAATTTACCAACATCTTTCTCATGGATTTCTTTCTCAAGTCTAGTCCAAGATTGCAGTCTCCATTAAGAAAGCTGTTGCCTGTGAATATGAGTTCCAGTTAATCTGCATGAAGGTTATCATTTTCAGTTTTGGTTGAAACTTTGGTTTATGGTGCTGTACAGAGAGGTGTTTCAGTTATTTTGCCTACCCCAATCGATATAAATTGGGTGGACAAAATAATATAAACCTAATAAACCGATTGTACATCTAATGTACTATACAGAGCAAATGTTAAAAAACCAGCATATAGTTCAGTCTGGCTTTGACATCCACATTCTACAATGGTCTGTGTGCAAATGAAACCAAGAAGACAACATAAATAATGTAACCTCAAGACGTCACACAAAAACAAATACACATGGATGTGGTTGCGAGGTTACAATGTCTGGTCAGCCATAGAGCGCAGCAGAGGTAACAGAGGAATCCCACTGCTGTACACTGTAGGAAACAATTACCTGAAGGATGTGTTAAATAAATATAAATGCTGCCAAAGCATGAGTGCACATTAGAAATGGGATTCACTCTAGGTTACATGCACCAAATTGATTGAATGCAGCAAACCATAAATGAATGGCAGAACTAGGCCCGTAGTTTTTGGCGTGTGTATATCGTAGGAGAGATGGAGGTGTTGTAACAATTTAGCGATGCCAACAAGCTGTCTAATGTTAGAACTCCTTCCAAAGCTGCAGCTAATGTGTGATGGTGTGGTCTAGTCAATAAATAAAAAAAATTCTTATCACGGCTATTCACAACTAATTTGGAAGTAAAAATCACCAGTTCCTGAATTGCTTGTGTGTTTTTGGTATCTGTGATTTTGTTCTCAGTCTTGGTGGAAATGCACAATGCATGGAGTATAATTATCCTTATCATCAGAGGAGGCTTGGGATTTCATGAGTTTCCTTTGCCGCTAACTGGCATGCTTTTTGTCTAGCGTTCCATACTTTTGTTGCACCGCTTAACAATGTAGCTGTGTCTGCACGAGTTGCCATTCTCCCAAGCCTATCTAATTAATGAATTTGTCAATCACACATCAAAGGCAGTGTCAAAGGAGGAGCCGTAGTCCATATTTGGAAGCCTTCCCACGTTAAGATGTGGCATTATCAGACTGTGTAAGATCACT